CCCAGGCTTGAAGCAAGGACCGGGGTGTGTGCCGGGCAGTTGGCGGTATCACCTCCGCTCGTTGGGAAGGACAGAGAGACCCTCTAAGTTTCCGAAAATGTTGTCATGTACGTGGTGTTTAAAAAGATTGAGACACACTGGCACGCCCCGCCCAGTCCTTGCACACTTGGGCAGTGCGACACTAAACCCGCAGTGTCATGGTACATACCAAAGACAGGGCAGGGATTGTCCACACAAGCTTATTTAGAAGAGTTCAGTTTTGAGAGGGAGTCAGCATTAAATTAGTGACTCCTAGTCTGAAAAGCCACAACGTTGTAGGATTTTTTAGAGGTATTGTATGGCCTATTCTTGTGTGCTTTCCAATGGATTCCAATTCCAAGTGACCGATAGGACAGAATAGAACTGCCCTACAAGGTTTCCTAGCGCAATGGTTAAAGCTCTGGCTGCTAAGCAAAAGGTCGTTCGTTGGTTGGAACCCACCAGCAGGCAGGAGAAAGATGTGGCAGTCTGCTTCCCTAAAGACTGGAAACTCAGTGGGGCGTGGTTCTGCTCTTACCTACAGGGTCAATATGGGTCAAAATGGCTCCACGCAGTGAGTTTTTAATTTTTATGGAAGCACGTTGCCAGATCTTTTGGAGCAGCGGCCCTTTAGCCATTGCACTACCAGGGCTCCTTGTTTCATGGCTTAGTGTGTTTCTTACTTGAAATACACTGGGGGGTAGAGGGTGGGAGGATGACAGAGTGCAGGGCACTAAAATATTTTCTGCCTTTCGTTTCTATTGATCTTACTCTGGCCCTGACACCCAACACTTTACCTTTTTCAAAAATTTTATTTTTAAAAGATCCAGATAAAATCCTCACATTTTGGAGAGTACAAATGAATTTATCCTCACATGGAATTATGTCACAAAACATTATTGTCATACTTGGGTAAATGTATGCTTTCTAGCAATCACAAACTCAACTCCTCCCAGGAACAAAATACAGTTTTACCAAAAGAAACTCTTTAGGGAGACAAGTGTTTTTCAGAGCAGCAGGGTGTCTAGAAAACCTTCTCATTGCATGCTTTAAACCCACATTCCTTCCTTGTGTGTTGCGTTCCCCACACCTTTGGCAATACCATTTTTCTTTTCTTTTTTTTTTTTCCACTTTTTATTGTGATTTAAATGGAAGTTTACAAATTAGTTTTCCATTCAGCAATTCATACACATTTTGTTTCATGACATTGATTGCAATCCACATTAAATTCACATTACATTACATTCACATTACAGCACTTTCCCACTTCCTCACTTTGTTTTCTTTGTCCCTTCCTGCTTTCTAAGTTTTGTCTGTGGGCAAATGCTACCCTTTTGGTCTTGTTTTGTTGAGTGCTCTAAGGAGTGCACACCTCCCCTGATGTTATTTTTCCACCTTATAGACTTATATGTTGTTTGGCTGAAAATTGATCCACTGGGGTGAGTTCAGTTCCAGACTTGAAAGGCCATGGTTTCAGGTGTTCTACCAGTCTCTATCAGACAAGTAAATCTGATGTTTTTCATTATTTTGTTTTTGTACCACCTTTTTCTCCCATTTTATTAAGCCCCTTCTATTGTGATTCCAACCAGAGTAGTTGGTATTGGTAGTTGGGCACATCTCTTTCTTCCGTTCTCAGGGTGGTAGAGGCTGTTTCATGTGGTCCATTAGACCTTCAGACTAATTGTTTCCATGTATCTTTGATTCTCTTCACTCTTTTTTGCTCCGAATAAGGAGAGACTGATAGTTAAATCTTAGATGGCTGCTCACAAGATTTTAAGACCCTAGTCACTACTCACTAAGTAGGGTGTCAAACATTGGCTTTGTGGACTATGTTATGCCAATTGACTTTGATATCCCCCAGGACTATGGTTCTGAGCCCCTAGGCCTAGTGACTCATTCACTAAAGGTGTTTGGTTATGGCTAAGAAGTCTTTACAGCTTTGCCCCTTGTTTATTCTACTAAATACATGGATATATTTGCAGCACATATAAATACATATGTAGAAATATAATTTGCCAACCCTATATATGGAGCTCTGGTAGCATAGTGGCTAAGACACTTGCCTGCTAACCAGACGGCTGGCGGTTCAAACCCACCAGCCACTCCTCGGAAGGAAGGTTGGGCAATCCTACTTCCGTAGTGATACTGCCTTGGAAACCCAAGGAGGGGTCGCTATGAGTCGGGTTTGACTCGACGGCACATAACAACAACAACAACAACCCTATATATAGTCATGGGTTCATTCACCTTCTCATACCTGTTTAGCTTACATGTCTATTGCATGTCGTAGATTATTGTTATTGCAGGATTGTATATATAATTGTATTTACCTTATTTGCCTTTAACTCTTAATTCCCAGTATCTTCCTTTGTCTTGGTCATTTTGTGCCTTTCTTATGTTGCCTTTCTCTTCACTGTAGTTTATAGGTATCTACTCTCTAATTGGTGATTTTCCCTGTCTTCCACTCCTATTCCTGGTAACCAATGAAAAATACTTTCTTTCTCTATGTAAACTTCTTCTTGGCTTTTTACAGTAATGGTCTCATATAATATTTATCCTGTGTATGATTGGCTAATTTCACTTAGTATAATGTCTTCCATTCTCACCCTTGTTATGAAGTGTTTCACAGATTCATTCTTTAATATTGCATAGTATTCCATTGTGTGTATGTTAAAGGGCACTCATCTGTTAAAGGGCACTTAGGTTGACGCTATCTTTTTTGCTATTGGGCATAATGCTGTGATGAAATGACTGTGTGTATATCTATTTGTGTCATGACTCTTATTTCTCAAGGATATATACCTTAGTATTGAGATTGCTAAGGAGCTCTGGTGGTGTAGTGCCTAAGGCATTTGACTGCTAACCACAAGTTTGGTAGTTCAAACCCAGCAGCCACTCCTCAGAAGAAAGACTGGCCAATCTACTTCTATAAGGATTGATCACCTTGGAAACCAAAAGGGGTTGCTGTGAGTTGGAATCGACTCAATGGCAGTCAGTTGTTTTTTTTTTTTTTGGTATTCAGATTGCTAGATCATATGGTATTTCCATTTCCAACTTTTTCAGGGAGCACCATACTATTTTTCACAATGGTTGCATCATTCTTTTTTAACTTTTTATTGTGATTTGGGTGAAGTTTTACAAAGCACATTCTTTTTACATTCAACAATTCATACATTTTGTTTTGTGGCACTGATTACAATCCCTACAATGTAAAACCTCATGTCCTTCCTGTAGTTACCCTTAACCTGTGTCGTTCTTGCCTATGAATTTCTGCCTCCCTAGCTTACTCCCTGTGCAAATTCTGCCCTTCTGAACTCACACTGTTGATTATTTAAAAGAGTGTATCTCTCTGGTGTAGTTGCTCAGCTTGTAGGCCTATCTATTGTTTGGGTGAAAGTTAACCACAAGAGTGATTCCAATTGCAGGACCAAAGCATGACTAGGGACCATAGTCTTGGGGATATCACCAGTCCCTATGTGACCAGTAATACTGGTCTTTTATTATTATTATTATTATTTCATTCCACATTTTTCTCCCACTCTATATAGGATCTCCAATTCTGATCTCTTCCTGAGTGGTTAGCAGTAGTATCCAGGCACCATCTAGTTCTGGTCTCAGGGTCTCATATAGGTGAGGTTCACATGTTCCATTTATCGTCTGGACTAATTGTTTACATGTGTCTTTTTCTTTACTCTTTGCTCCAGATGAAGACAGACCAATAGTTGTATCTTAGATAGCAACTTGTAAGCTTTTAAGACTCCAGTCACTACTTACCAAAATAGGAATGTAGAACAATGTTTTTGTGGACTATGCTGTGCCATTTGAGCTTGATGTCCCCCACAACCATGATCCCGAGACCAAAGGTTCTGCAACTCTCTCCCTCGAGGTGCCTAGTTGTGGCTAATTAGTTATCCTAACTTTGTCCAATTAGCTCTATATTACATATGAACATTGTTATAGCACTTACAAATATGCATGAAGAATTTCGTCTTCCCAACCTATATATGTTGTGGGTGTATTCTTGTTGACCTTCCATGCCTGATCGTCTTGCCTGTCTACTTATGTATCCATCCACAGATTAGTGTTTGCTATTACTGATAAGGCAATATAGTATGTGTAATAATATTTACATTTATTATTGGTACCTATTATGCACCTCTCTGTGTTTTCCTTTCCTTACTGACATTGTGCTGGTCACACAATTCTATTATATTGCCTTTCTCTTCACCCAAATCAACACCCGTCTCTTAATTAGCAACCAATTTTTTCCTTTCCTTCCCCTCCCATCCCTAAACAACAAAGATACCTTCCTGTGTAAATCTTTCCTTGACTTTTTATAATAACTGCCTCATATAATATTTGTCCTTATATGATTGATTTATTTTACATAGCATAATGTCCTACAAGTTCATCCATGTTCCTTAAAAAGTTGGAAATAGAAATATGATTTGATCTAGCAATCCCACTACTAGGAATATATCCTAAAGAGGTGAGATCCTGGACACAAATAGATATATGCACACCTATGTTCATCACAGTACTACTGACAATACCAAAGAGATAGAGACAAACTAAATGCCCATCAACAGATGAATGGATAACCAAACTATGGTACACAAACACAATGGAATACTGTGCAACATTAAAGAATAATGAAGAATCTGTGAATCACCTTGTATGTAGTTTTGAACTTGCAAAACTGAGATTTTGATTATTAGAAGAAAAGACAATTAGAGTTTGACAGGAAGGGTCTT